TTCTATGAGGACCCTGGCAGCGGCGTTCTGAATATGTTGGAGTTGCTGAAGAGCCTCTTTTGAAAGCCCTGTGAACAGACCATTGCAGTAATCCAATCTACTGGAAATAAAGTTGTGTGTAAGCTTATCTAAGTCTTGCTTGAACAGTGCTCCTCTGATTACAGAAATATATTTTAGATGGTAGTAAGCAGACAAAGTGACCAATCTGATGTGACTATTGACATCATTAAATCTGGTGAGATAGGCCTACGTTTCTATCCAAGTGCGAATCTGTTTCAATTGAGGATATTAAAAAGGTATAAAAAGTGACAAATTGTGCCATGAGCACAAAGTAGAAAAATACAAGTACCACCAAGCCACAGCAGCAGGCCACTATTGAAATTTAGCCTCTGTAATTGTCATTGTAACTGGGATTGTAAGGGCTGTTTGAACTGAACATCTGATGTATCTTTACGGCAATGACAGTCATTGTAATAATGGAAATAAGCATTATGATGGCACCCAGGATTGTGGCCCAGATGTTGAGACAGCGGGCAGTTGAGCCATAGTATTGGGCACCATCCAGATCTCCAACCACCTTCCGGTCCCTGGCCTGTAAAGGACCAAAGCACACTGATTTTAAAAGTGGATTCATCGTTATGCTCGAGGGAACTTGAACTGTTGATCATAGGCTCAATCTCATAATCTCCTGCAAAATCTTTAGATTATTGTATTTCAGGCTGCAAGTGTGATCTCTGTCTTCTTTTTATTAATTTATTAAATTTAATTACATTTATATACTTATAGTTGGGTTGTTGTTTATTTGGCATTATTGTTCTCTGACCTATGATTCTTCATCGTCAAGAATGTCTAGCAGAGTTTCTAACACATTTAAAATATCTGCTGTCTTTGTGTTTTCATCAAATTTTATTCCTGTTATTTTTTGTATTTTAGTGTTTTATTAAAATGTCTCAGTGAGGACTGTGTCTTACTTATCACTTTCTTCCTAAAAAGAATTTGGCAAATCCTTTTTCCTCTAACCCTATCTGGCCTTTGTAAGAACTTATATTGCTTAATAGTCAATAACAGAAGATTGAATATTAAGAACTGTCGCACATGAATTCACCTTGATAGAAAAGATGAGAGCCGCCAGTCCGAGGCAGAAGGGGTTTAAGTACAAAAAGCAGCAGAGGGACCAGATGATGTGGTCCTTGGGGGACTCAGTGGTCATGTTCACAGTGGTGTACTGAACCAATGTAGGTCCTCCAGGCTGTCCAAGCTGTCCAAGCTGTCCAAACTGCCCAAACTGCCCATCATACCTTCCCTGTAATGGAACAGCCTCTGCTGGGTGAACTATAGGATTCATCGTTGTCAGCTCAAAGTATTAGGAGTGCAGGTTACAAGAAAGTGTGCAAGAACTGTCACTGTGTTGATTTCCTTTTAAATCGTTTGAGGTTTGTACTAGCCTTTCATTGCATGAAGAGCCAATGATGTAAACTAAGGTAACCACACTTGTTTGGCCACATTTGACTTTTTGCTTCTTCTTTATTTAGTTGTCCTGAATAGTTTGCAGATTGAAATGCCTTCTGTTAAACTAGATAAATTTTGCTACACTTCCTCTATGTACACAACAAACTTCTCTACCTCGTTTCCACCAGTGTTTCCTGTCATGACATAACTGTGGTCAGACAGCTCCAAAAAAAAAACACAATTTTTCCTCAGATTGTTGTTTTTTTCTATGTGAAGTTACAGTAGATAGCTTTCCTTATTTGTTGTATGATTTACATCAGACATATCACATACACACAGTATACTGTTATTTCCTGTTAGTATAAAATAAAGTGTGTTGATATTTTTGTATTCTAACTGCTAAAACAGTATACTATCAAGTGTAGATGGTGTATAGAATTAGCATGGACTTCAGACAAAGCCTTAGTCTTGTTTGTTTTTTTAAGGGTAATTATGTAGTGGGACACATTTGGATCAACAACAGAAACTGACATTTGATCATTTTGTAGTATGATTTACATCCAGCGTCAAATGTACTGTTATTTCCTGTCAGTATAAAATGGTAGTTATTTCCTGTTAGTATAAAATGGTAAAGTGTGTTTTGTATAGTATCTGCTAAAACAGTATACTATCAAGTGTAGATGGTGTATAGAATTAGCATAGACTTGGGACGTAGCCATAGTCTTGTTTTTCAAAGGGTGATTGGGATATATTTGATTTAAGGAGAGAAACAGGAAACCCACTAATGTCAGATTAACTCTTTTTAGCCGCGGTTTGATCAAACCGCACATTGCATAAAATGGTTATAGTCAGTCTATCCTACGGCTGGACAATAAAACAATAACAATAATTATTGCAATATAATTTTTTTCAATAACAAATGTTCAATAAATATTCAATTAATGTTTGAATTTATTCACTTGAATAATACAGGATAAGGATTTTTATTAAGATATTTATTTTGTTGCGGTAAAAGGATCAAAAAAGCTTTTACTCGTGCATGTTTGTTGACAAAGATTTTATCATAATTGTTTTGAATGTTCTACCTCAGATTTGTGAAGTGATTCACTGTTTGGCATCAACTGTTGACCATAAAAAAAAACACAATTGACCATCAGGTTTCTTCAACTTTCACTCAGGAGAAAAAAAATCAGCCCTTAAACACAAAAGAAATAATGGTTTGATATTTATTGTAATATCTGTATATGGTGATGGCGTAATGGATAAGACACATGCTTTTGGTGTGAGAGACCCAGGTTCAATCCCCCACTGTGATCCATCCACCATTGTGTCCCTGATGAAGACACTTAACCCCTATGTTCCAGAGGCGTGTGACCTCTGACATACACTCACCTAAAGGATTATTAGGAACACCTGTTCAATTTCTCATTAATGCAATTATCTAATCAACCAAACACATGGCAGTTGCTTCAATGCATTTAGGGGTGTGGTCCTGGTCAAGACAATCTCCTGAACTCCAAACTGAATGTCAGAATGGGAAAGAGAGGTGATTTAAGCAATTTTGAGCGTGGCATGGTTGTTGGTGCCAGACTGGAGGGTCTGAGTATTTCACAATCTGCTCAGTTACTGGGATTTTCACGCGCAACCATTTCTAGGGTTTACAAAGAATGGTGTGAAAAGGGAAAAACATCCAGTATGCAGCAGTCCTGTGGGCGAAAATGCCTTGTTGATGCTAGAGGTCAGAGGAGAATGAGCCGACTGATTCAAGCTGATAGAAGAGCAACTTTGACTGAAATAACCACTCGTTACAACCGAGGTATGCAGCAAAGCATTTGTGAAGCCACAACACGCACAACCTTGAGGCGGATGGGCTACAGCAGAAGACCCCACCGGGTACCACTCATCTCCACTACAAATAGGAAAAAGAGGCTACAATTTGCAAGAGCTCACCAAAATCGGACAGTTGAAGACTGGAAAAATGTTGCCTGGTCTGATGAGTCTTGATTTCTGTTGAGACATTCAGATGGTAGAGTCAGAATTTGGCGTAAACAGAATGAGAACATGGATCCATCATGCCTTGTTACCACTGTGCAGGCTGGTGGTGGTGGTGTAATGGTGTGGGGGATGTTTTCTTGGCACACTTTAGGCCCCTTAGTGCCAATTGGGCATCGTTTAAATGCCACGGCCTACCTGAGCATTGTTTCTGACCATGTCCATCCCTTTATGGCCACCATGAACCCATCCTCTGATGGCTACTTCCAGCAGGATAATGCACCATGTCACAAAGCTCAAATCATTTCAAATTGGTTTCTTGAACATGACAATGAGTTCACTGTACTAAAATGGCCCCCACAGTCACCAGATCTCAACCCAATAGAGCATCTTTGGGATGTGGTGGACCGGGAGCTTCGTGCCCTGGATGTGCATCCCACAAATCTCCATCAACTGCAAGATGCTATCCTATCAATATGGGCCAACATTTCTAAAGAATGCATCAGCACCTTGTTGAATCAATGCCACGTAGAATTAAGGCAGTTCTGAAGGCGAAAGGGGGGTCAAACACAGTATTAGTATGGTGTTCCTAATAATCCTTTAGGTGAGTGTATATAGCAACTGTAAGTTGCTTTGGATAAAAGCGTCAGCTAAATGAATAAATAATTATTAGTAATTATCGATACTGAAAGATATGAAACTTTTTAGCGTGATAAAATTTTTGGCCATATCGTCCAGCCTTAGTCTGTTAGATTACATTTCAGTTCCACTCCACATACTGTTTTAAAAGATCCATGAAGATGCAAACCTGCTTTAACCTCATCAGTCTCAGTGGGTGTCCGGTTCAGCTTAAGTAAGGCTTGCAAGCAATTGGTCTATTCTGCTGTGAATTAATATATCAATGGTGTTGTTATAGCAATCCAAGCAACATCTGAGCATCAGTTTTTGTTGTGTCCCATTCTTCCTCATGGGAAATGAGGCTATACAGAGTTCACTAAGTATAGCTGCCTGTTATTCATTGGTGGCAATGCTTTATTCTGGGTGCTGAGCCTTGACCTTTAATGAAGTCAGAACAACAGGTGACATGGTTTGATTTGAGTAAAACCTGAGGGGGTAGGAGGTGGTAGGATGGATGGACTGACCACAATGGTATCTCTGTGAAAAATAGTATAATAACTTAACACTGGATGGAGACTTTTCCATTGTTTTTGTCAAGAAGGACCTGAATCCATTTTCCACAGTCTGGATGGACGGCATTCAGGTTTTCGACCTGCATGATGAGCCAGACAATGAGACTGTGAAATTGATAAATGGTAAATGTCATTGCGATATAACGTTACCATTATTGCCACAGTATGGAACAAAAGCAGGAACTAATTCACTGAGATCTCAACAATGCTACAATGATATCCCTATGTCCCATCATTCCGGGGACTCCACAGGGACTCTTTATTATTTACATATTCATATCATCATCTGCCAAAATCTCACACACGCTAGGTCCCACACTGTCTACTATAATGTGTAGTGTGGAAAGTTGCGTGTGTTTTGTAATGTGTTTCTTTTTTTCATGTGCAATCTTGGTTAAATTTTTATGTTGTGGTTAAATGTTTCTTTCTTTTGTGTCTAGTGATCCCAGGGAAACGTTATTTCATTGTAATACTGTGGAACGTCTGGTAAATGACAAAAGTAATCTTATTTGTTTTGATATAGAACATTTCTTAAAGAATTTGTTTGAGGGTATTAATTGTAGGACCTGAAAACTCCCAAAACGGGATCTGGAACGGATGGTGGCGAGGTAACAGCTACCACTTGGCAGTTTTATGAAGACATGCAGGAGGAGGTGTTGGGCGCAAGTCCTTCAATGGACCATCCTGTTGTGGTTGTTGTAAGGATGATAAAAATGAAGTAATACTGAGTACACTGAGTATGTAAGGATGATAAAAATGAAGTAATACTGAGTACACTGAGTATGTAAGGATGATAAAATGAAGTACTGAGACTGAGTATGTAAGGATGATAAAATGATGAAGTTGAGTTGACATAAGTTAAAAATACTTAAAAATGTCCATAAAAAGGAGAAGTTAAAACTACAGATCATAAGTTACACTTAATGGATTACTGATCTACAGATCATAAGTTACACTTATGATCTGTAGATCAGTAATCCATTGCTTTTTGGGTAAAGGAGGCTAGAAAGATTAATAGGCTAAAAAGACGATCTGTTTAAAATGCTGTCTTATTTAACTTCTTTTCGGGAAATTCACCTTAAATTACAATATGCAGTGTTTGCTTGTTTACATAAATTTCACTTTCTTTTTGCCGTAAGTACCAGTACCAGTTTGTGATTGGAGGATCTCTTTACGATTGCTAATTCCTCGTTCAGCCGGTGTACGGAACGTGTGGCTTACATTCAGCCATTACAACATTGGACTTACTGACGTTTCATGCCTGCAGAAGAAAATGGCTAATACTCTGCTTAACTGAGAGAAGATCACCTCAGTGTTCTACCTTCTCAACCTACGTCGACTTCACTGATTCCTGTTGCTGCCGCCGAAGAATCAGTTGTGCCGTTGAAACTACCGACATTTCATGAATGAAATGCCGTTTAACTAGAAAAACGCTAAATTTCCTGAAAGGACTGACGCATGTACTCGCTACCAGCAGATAGTTCTATAACTTTGTTATTGTAACTTACTTGTACAAGCTTCACGTGGTGAACTTCTGTTAAGAAACTCCAAGGGATATTTTAAAGACCGCTGTGTCTTGTTTTATTGCTTTGTGTTTTCCGTGCTATGCACGTTGTTTGTGTCCGGTACCACCCGCTGGGGCTTGACCGCTTTATTCCTATTACTGTGTGGAAACATATCAGTATTTATATCAAGCCAAGAAACCCGGTTGCTG